AAAAAGATAATCTAACCGGCTATGTCTCTTTCTATACACAGTGGATTGACATATGTGTTTGCATTCGGGTTCGTGGGCTCCATCTTGTTTGAAACTGACTCTTAGCCACACCTTGTAGCACAAAGGGCTTGTCTGCATTCTCAGGGCGTTTTGGAACTTACCTCCCTCCCCTCAAAATTCCTTGCCCAAGATATGCTCCGGCTGCTCCCGAGTTTGGGCACCACCTCCAACACAAAACCTTAAAAAACATCATAAAGCTTTGACTGTACATGACTGCACCACACATTGAGGTACCAACCTCACCTGTAAAGCTACAGCTCCAACCCTTTTCGGAAGGCTGCCCACACAGCTCACCCGCCCACTCACCAGTCTGTCGTTCCCTTTTGCCAAAGGACATTGGCCACGAAGGGTCCCACCAAACTCTTGGCGGCCTGGAGGAACCGCGGCTTTCCGCATGGAAACCCCCACGGCTTGGCGGGAAAGGTTCTCCGGTTCTGGCGAAGGGCTCTTTTTGGAGAGGCTGAGGAGCTGGTGGCTCCACTGGAAACATTCCCTGTTTGGGTGTTCAAGAGAGAGGACCTTTTGATGTTTCTTTGGGCATCTTTGGACCGTTCATGTCCTTTTTGCCCGGGAACGTCCACGTTCTCACCCTTTGGTGGGTCACAAAAACCGCACACTCTCCAACTGATCGAGTCAGTGTGTTTTCCTCACAGCCAGCACCGAGCCGGCCGAGCCACAGCGACCCCGCCACGAACGATGGGATTCTGCGCGGACCGTGCGACGGCGGGGCCTCTCGCACTGAAGCAAAGGCCGCCACCAGGATGAGGCCCCCCACAGGGAACCTGCCGATGTGTGAGGAGCCAACGAAGTTCCTAGCTCCAGAGACGAACGTCGAAAGAAATCAAGTTGCTTTAGATGGGTACGGCCGGTGCGGCACAGTTTGGAGAGTTGGGAGAAAGAAGGAGAGTTGAGAGTTGAGAGGACGTGTGGCGCATGTTGATATAGGAAGCTGCACACTGCACGCCGTACGCCCTACACCTCCAGTGATTCCCTGCCAACAGAGGAGACATTCCGGCCGTGGGCCTCAGCTGTCCCAAACGAAATCCCCTCCACTTCTTGGGACGAAGGCCAATCCCCTTTTGAGAAGGCATGTGGCTCTTTGCTGGTGATTGGCCATTTGGCAAGGCATTTGGCCCCCCAAATAGATAGAAAAGTAGATCCTCACTAAACATGTATTGGGTGCCACTATCTATATTTGGGGACCACTATATATAGATATATTTAAAAAAATGACCACAGCCTTAGATAGGGCCCTGGGACCTTAATGTCCTATAAATGTTGCTTAGGGTCCCCCCCATACAACACCTTACTCATCGACACCTCACAAACCCCTCAATTGTTTTCCATTCTCCAGGTGGCAAACCCCCCATCCACAGCCACGCCAACGTGAAACGTGAGCAGGAAAGTGGCCCCCCGCACGCACACCAAAGCAGGAAAGCAGCCATCACACTCAAAACCAGGCAACAGTCAGGGCGGGTTGGCCTCTGGAGGAGGGGTCGATTAATTTAGTATGCTAGCTTGATCCAAGGTACACTGGGAGCATGATAAGACTAAAGCTAGACCGAATTAGACCCTGAATATTCTGACACTCACCTCGACGTCCTTAGTTACTTTGGTTCCTCTCTCTGTCTCTCTCTCTCTCTCTCTCTCCCATCCTGGCCTTCCGTGATAATTAATTGAGGGGCGTGCGACCTCTCCACCACCTCTTGATATGACCCTAGCTTGATCCAAAGTACACCGGGAAAATGCAGATTAATTTGTCTTATCCGACTTGGGTGTTTACCAAAATTGTCGACCAATTGTCGGAGAACAAAGAAGTTCCTTGAGACAAAAGTAATTCGTAGGTGACCCCCCCCTTCCAATTACAATTCTTTAGTAACTGTAAGTAGTGGAGGGATGTGGATGGGGTAATCTTAAAGCATTCTAAATACAGCTCGACAGCTAGATGCTAACACCTTCCCCTCTCCTCAAACCATCCGTGACTCCGTGAATCCGTGACGCTTCGCGACGTCTCGGCACGTCTCGGCGCGTCTCCGCGGGTCCCGGTGTCTCTCCACCGCCTACTGGCCAAGTACACGGTCGGACCGGAGCCCACGGATCGACCGAAGAGGATGATCTGCTCATACCTCAAAGGACGATGCCATCAAGTCAAGTCATGAGCCCAAGTCATGATGGCACGTGGACTGGAAGAGTGGAGGCAAAAATGGTGGCGCATCCTGAAGTGGCGCCTCCCACCGACCACCGACCCCACCGATTTTCTTGTGCCGATCTCTGGAAAGGGCGCACGCAACCTTCAATTCATCCAGAATGAAGCGGAATGCCGTGAGGGTCACCTACCAAGGCATGGACAATGCTGCACTTCGGCGCTGAGTGCTCAATGACAACGCCACTGTGTAAGCCCCCCCTACTTGGATCACCCACGCATGGTTCTCACCTCTCAAAAACATCCGTCGATGCTGCTTGGCTGGGAAACCTCCGTCGCGATTCCGCCGCGGGAACCGCTCCCGCGGGAGGCGGTGGCTTTGGGTCGCGCTGCCTCTTTCAGAGCTGCTTCCGAGGACCGGGAGATGCCATGAAGCAGCCCGTAGCCTGGATACCTGGAGACGAGACTTCGTTGGAAAGAAGGAGTCAGACGGACTGAATCTGACTGATGCCCAGAAAGGAATGAGGGAATGGACCTTAAGGTATATAGTTATACTGTAGTTATAGTAGGACAGTAGGGGGTTCATTCCCTCATCCCCTGCGAAGCACCATGGGTTGCTTTGACTTATGAAACTTATGACTATATATCTGGTTTGATGTTCGAGGTTTTTTGGAGTCTTTCCAATATGTGTAAAGAATATGTTTAAACAATAAACACCTCTGGAAGGTGGATGGAGCAGCACCCTGCGAGAACTCTATGGTCTTGTCAAACTTCAGGTGCAAGCATTTGAATATTTTGATATATTTTGAATAGTGTACGAGTGTAGATCGAGCACAACAAACACAGCGGAATCTGCAAACTATATAAATCAAAGTACAGTAGGACCAGGACACCTCGAAGACATAATGTTGCCGAGGCAAAACTGCACACCGAACAAAGAGCATTTCTCACACGTGCGTCTTTGTCGGAGCTGCTACTTCAGGGCACTCCACTGCAAGGACGTTCATCTTGAACTGGTCCCGCATGTGACGTACCTCAGGGTTTGTCCAAGTCAGTCGGACTGACTTGCTTTCGACCGCATTGGCCACCGTTTCACTGAGCTCGTGGCAAATGGGAAACACATCCCGAGATCCTGGCGGCCGAACGAGGCTCCAAACCCGTCAAAGAGCATGGAACCCAAAGAGTCATGTTCCGCCGCTAGTTCGAAGTGGGGAAAATGGGGATGAAAACCCGAGTTGGATGGTTTTGCAGTGCCCGATTCTGCCCTCTGTTTGCAACTCAGTCATGCAAAACATGACCCGTTTGGTGGAGATTGCTCTGAACTTATGAGCAGCAAAGCAAACGAGGCAACGAAAGGCGAACCATTTTGATACGAGCTTGGGCCTTGTAAGGAAAAAGTGATCTTAGACTTATCATGGCCCGTGTTCGGTGTTGAGATTGTCCAGCCTGTACCTGATGTAAAGCGATTGCAAATGGTCAGTGCATCACCGGACGACTCTTTTTGTTCGCTTCTTCTGCGCGCAGAGCGTCCTGAAGCCGGAAGCGTCTTGGACTGCCGGACGTGATCAAAACCATTCGAAACAAAAACCCCTCAAGGCCATGGTTGGCAAAGTGTGGCGCCGGGCTGGCTTGATAGACCCCTAGTAACTCAGGCCATACACTTGCCGAAAGAAGCTTCGAGGAGAAAGCTTCAGCTATGGACCAATTGCAAAGAGACTGCGTGCGCGCGTGGTTTTGCAGGCACGTGCCTGCGAGAGAGTTGCCACATTTGACATGGCAAATCATCACATCACACCACGAATCACCGCATCCCCCTTCACCAAAATAAACCATTACATCGCACCTTGCGACAACACAAACTGCCAAAAACTAATTCAGTATACTTTAGCACACCTTCAGCATACTATGACACATCACATTCTTCACAAACCACCAAACCATCACTGACATCACAATGTCAGCACATCCAAAATCAGGACAGAACACAACACTCCAGTAACACCCATGCACACATTGCAAATAAATAAACATTATACTCCCGGGACCTAACATGGAAGTGGAATGGCCCCTTGGAAGACCCTTTTCCTCCAGAAACAGGGGGTGAACTCCAGTGAGTGTAATATCAATCCCGTCGTTGCTCAGAAATTCACTAAGACCTCACCTCATGACCTTCACCACATCACCCATCTCACCGCCTTCCTCCTCATGGAGCCAGAACTTGTGAGACAAGGTGAGCTGAGTGACCACCACTTGACCAGACCCGTATGAGCCCATATATGATATGATGTACATGAAGGTATTCAGGTATTTGCCATAAAGCTATACAAAGCCTGTCATGGTGCTTCACAATCCTTGATCACCCCAAATGGGCCAGCAAGCCCTCAAAGCTCTTCAAGCGACACGTCGGCATGCCTCCATCTGCACACTGTCGGCGTCAACACAGCCTAAGCGCTTCAGAATGTAGCGGCGACTTCGTGTCGATGAACTTACATCCAAACGTAGCAGCCAGCATTTAGCATTTAATTGGATCTTATTGGAAGACACCCACAGACTAGGTTCCATTTTTCTGATAATTGTACGTATACGAACGTAAACCAATCAGTGGGCTATTTGGAGGTGACAAAAGTGTCCCGCATTTTTAGTCTCCAAACTCATGAGTCCTGTAGGTTGCTACTGCTACGGCCGCAGTCAGGACTGCTAGACCTTCAGGAAAACCAAGGCGAGTCCAATCCTTCTTCCCGGAAAACCGCACGAAGGCACAGTCGCTTGCTACAAAAAAAAGTCGCCTGAACAGTTGGACGAATGATGACAAATGGATCTTTGCAAGCACTCAGCGCATGTGAAGATTGCAAGCCAGCTGACATGGGTCCATCGATAATGGGGTCCTTGCACCTCGTGCAGGACCAAGAAAACAGTCCAGGACCTACTGTGACCTGATATCGACATCCCAACAGGGACCCTTGGAGGGCTTAGAGGACCCACATCCACCTACTGCATCTTCTCGAACACCTTTGTATCTGAAAGCATGCAGCGGCCAAGGACTGAACGCTGGTCACTGAAGTGCGCGGTTGCCGCATGGTCTAGAATGCCTGGGCTGCATAGACCCCAGCGGACCGGTGTAGGACAAGGCTCATGGTGCCTAAAAATCCGTCGACTAGTTTTCGTTGTCGGTGCCAAGGGCATTGTTCACCTTGCCAGGGACGACATCATGTCATGCCAGGAATCAGCACCAGCACCGGCCCCCAGCACCAGCACGCCACACAAAACACCGATCCAGAGCCACACCATTGAGAAGTAAGAACCCCTATAGCTTGCAGCTATCTGAGGGGAAAGCAGAGCAATAGCGACTCCGCTCTTCATAAGCCGAACATCCAACGAGGGGGCCTCAGAATGCCAATGGTTTGATCCACCCAAACGGATTCTGAGCCCACAAAAAACGCCCCCCATCTCTCTGAAGTTCCTTCGCCCCACGAAACCTTCCTCAGCTCCGGAGCTCCGCGAAGGTAGGGTCGAACGTCCTTCGCACATGAGGTATGGCACCCTGTGCGAGCTTGGACCGACCTGAACAGCCCAGGTTGGAAGGGATCAGACAACATGAATGGCCTTTGCTTGAGGGCATTCTCCAGTGCATCGTTGGTGGGAATGCACACGACTGGCATTCTCCAGTCCAGAATCTTCAGGGATTCCCTGAAGATGTCCTGGAAACCTCTGCATCGTGACGTGTCATTCATCTCTTTCGTGCCCACCAGGTCGTTTGGAAAAAACGGCAAAACGCGAAAGCCTTGACGTTTGGGTCCAACGGCCTTCACTCTACCGAGGAGCTACGGTAGGGCCAACATGTGACCCCCAGAAAGGACAAACCACGGGGATTCGGTCCCCACAACGAGTTCCTCCCAGTTCCCCAAGTCTGAGTGAGAATGACTGAGAATGAGTGAGAGAATTCTGGTAGAAGGGGTAGAAGCCGTAGAAATGAGAAAGAATACAAGTCTGATGATTGAATAGAACAAAAATGCTAAGCTGAAAGAAAAATGCTAAGTGGTTTTCTTTGGGATTGATGTTCATCCTGAAAGCCAAGTGACTGGAGAGACTATGATGAAAAATGATGCAAACCAACGGCGTGGACGACAGTGTTGCTATGGTTTGCTTTAGGATTGTGTGACGAAGCGAAGCTATGTGACTCATCAAGGCGAATGCTGTGAACCCTCCTATGGTCGCGTCAGTACCTGTTTTATGCGTGTCCATTATTTTTTGGTCGGCAAGCTCTACAAGTGAAGGTCAAGCCCTCCAGCAGAACAAAAAGAAGAACTAAACAAACTGAAGGTTCAGAAGGACTTACAGCTCCGGTGGTGTCTTACAGCTCACTGAGCCTAGTGAAACGAGCTCCCAACCCCAACGGGTCCCCACACGTTCCAGGCACCGCACCAAGCTCTCGGCCGGCGGCCCGGCCTGGTCCGTTGGGGTTGGTTGATCTGGCTGGTTGGTCCCTTCCTTTCACTACAAGAATCGAATTCCCAACGTGTTCTTTGAGTCCCCCCAAAAAAGGCATCAATAAAGAGTAGAGGGTTCTTTTTGCTTCACGCAAGAGGATTGATTCGCCCCCTCACCTGACACTCCTCTGGTTGAACAATTCATCTTCACTTCTTGTTTGGTCTGTTGCATTGATAGTTGTATAATTCCTTGCTTATGCAATTCAATTCCAGCACCACACAATCTTCGTATGTTTGAATGAAAGAGTAGCCAATGAATGACGGGGGCATTGAATCGTGTTGAGATTCCTAGATAGATTGAGAAAGGTAGGAAGAGATAAGTCTCAAAGGACCTCAGAGTCATGATGATGAAACGATGAAACACGTGCACACTCACAGTGGCCCACGCTAACTAATGGAAAAAAGACATGGTTGTTCAAAACAACATGCTCGACCTCATCTGTCGACACATCTGTCGACACCTCTCGCGCATGCATTTCTAAGATGAATGCAGCACCGTTGATGGACGAAGGAGTCCGGCAAATCTGCTCGAGATATTGGTCTCCAGCATTATTCAACTAAGAATTCGTCTTCAGAAGTCACCAAATGCTACACGAGTGATGGAGCTCAAAGACTGTGACGGGCCCATGGGCCCACCGAACAGCCGTCCCACAGCAGGCTGGCTTTGTGCTTCTGTGGTGTATGACCAGCCGCTCCACTCGCAAGGTTTGATTTCACCAGTAGGCCGATGCACTTTCTCCACAGCGACAGTGGCAAAGATTGCAGCTGTTGAGGCAAGCCCAGATTTCTGACACAACTGCCACTGGTTCCCTTGGGACACTCTTTGGTTCATTCGTTGGCCCAGTTCCAGGATCCCACAGAAGAGGTGACAGGTGACAACATGTCCCGCGGTCGCTGCGCCACCTGAGCGCCGCCGCAACGACTCACGGAAGCGCTCCAAGTTGGCCCAACTCGTTGGCAGCCGAAGGCACTACCCAGAGAATGGATCCCCGACCACATGGGGGGTCACGGAGTCTGGGATGCTCAAGTCTGTCAAAGAGGAGCAATCCTTGAAGGCAGCATGCCCAAGGTAGGTCACTGAGTTCGGGATGGTCAAGTTTCTCAAAAAGATGCAACCCTCAAAGGCACAATCCCCAATGTGGGTCACAGAGTCCGGGATGCTCAAGTCTGTCAAAGAGGTGCAATCCTTGAAGGCAGCATTCCCAATGTGGGTCACTGAGTTCGGGATGTTCAAGGTCACCAAAGAGCTGCAAACCTCAAAGGCACCATCCCCAATGTGGGTCACTGAGTCCGGGATGGTCAAGTCTGTCAAAGAGTGGCAGTTCCTGAAAGCACAATCCCCAATGTGGGTCACTGAGTTCGGGATGGAAAAGTTTGCCAAAGAGTTGCAATTCGCAAAGGCCTGATTTGCAATGTGGGTCACTGAGTCTGGAATGGTCAAGTTGACCAAAGAGCTGCAACCCTCAAAGGCACAATCCCCAATGTGGGTTATGGAGTTCGGGATGAATAGGTTCCCCAAAGAGCTGCAATGCTGAAAGGCCCAAATCCCTATGTGGGTCACAGAGTCCGGGATGGTCAAGTTCCTCAAAGACCTGCAAAGCTGAAAGGCACAATCCCCAATGTGGGTCACAGAGTTCGGGATGGTCAAATTTGCCAACGAGCTGCAGACCTCAAAGGCACCAGGCCCAATCTGGGTCACTGAATCCGGGATGGTCAAGTCTGTCAAAGACTCGCACCTCCTGAAGGCAGCGTGCCCAATGTAGGTCACTGAGTTCGGGATGGCCAAGGTCGTTAAAGAGTTGCAATTGGCAAAGGCATAATCTGTAATGTAGGTCACTGAGTTTGGGATGGTTATTTTTGCCAACGACTTGCAGTTCGCAAAGGCACCATGTCCGATGTCGGTGACAGAGTCTGGGAGCATCAAGTGCGCCAACTGGATGCAATTCGCAAAGGCATGACTCCCGATGCATGTCACTGAATCAGGGATTGTCACCTTCGCCAAGTTCTCGTAATTTACAAAGGCCGCTGGACGAATTTGAGCTTCATCACTTGGGATCTCGACCGCCAGCAACACTTCGGAGTCAATGACACCCGCAAGAGAGGCAAGCTCCTTTCGGTTGGAGCATCTCGCAATGTTTGCCTTGAAAACAACACTCACAGCCGCATCTCCACCCAATCCTGCGTCAAATACCTTCTCGTCATTGCCCAGCAAACTTTTATCTTCAAGCAGTATCTCCACACCTGTCGTCTTGCGAGTTAGCTCATCCCAAGGCTGTCCCTCCTTGATCCGCTGCTTCAGCTCCCGGCCCGTCATCTCTGGCGTGACTTCAAGCGCCAGCACTGCACCACTGGGCTGTAGCGCCAAAACCGTCCTCGCCATGGCTACACCCTCTGAAACGATGATGGAAGTGGAACATAGGCTCCTGGGTCTTCCCGTCTGAGGGGGCATCTTCTCAGCTTCCATTGAGGGAGGGAGGGTTTTTGCTGATATCTCCTGAATTGACTGCGATTCGTATGCAAGCCAATCTCTCTCATCTCTGCGAGCCAAAAGCAAAACAGTTCTACGAACAATCATTTGTGAATACAGTAGCTCCCAGCATATAGTTTGTAGAACCACAAGCAATAATTCCATCCTTTTAGTTCCCAATAGTTCCCAGCCTTCTGGGAATTCAAACACCTGTTGCATGTCCAACTCCACGACCCCCTTTCGACCAAGCGTTTGCCAAGCGCCTCCAGCAAGTGAAGCTTGAGTATCCTCTCCTGAAGTGGCCATTCATGCATTCAAAAGCATCATCCAATGTATAGACCCTTGACCGGGTCAGTCGGTCGCCCTTTTGGGTCGGCAGCTGTCAGGTCGGCAGCTGTCGGGTCGGCAGCTGTCGAGGTGACCGTGACATCCACAAGAATTCATGGAGAAATCCATGTTAAAAAAAAGCGGTTTCAGAAGTTTCAAGGGCACAGACATAAGACATATTGACCTTCAGCTGGTTTCATTCGGGCACCGAATCCCATGTGCACGGTGATCCCATGATCCCATGATGTCCCTTTTCGATGTCCTGGGGAATTTTCTTTGGAACCTACCGACCTTGGGGTCTGTGCCATCTACATCCTCTCAATCCACTAGAAGGAACCATGTGGCTTCTCAAAACCACCCAAAACCCACCGATTGACCGACCGGTTGACCATGGTCGACCGACACCCTCAGGGTGGACCGGTCGAGCTTCTTCACGTTGGACCCGGGCTCCTCATGTGGGGCGTCTCGGAGGTTCTTGCGAAGCTTTCACCCACCATACTGAGGAGATGACCGATGAGTCAACACGGCGGAGACGGGTTCTTTGCTTTTGGAGTGTTTGGTTCCTTGCTCGTGACCGGTTCTTTCGACATGTCATGCTTGGAGCATGAGGAACTGGTTTCCGCATGACAACCATTCGACTCTGCCCGTGTCTTGCAAAATGAGAGGACATTCCAACCATTCTTTTCATCTATACTTTCCCTGCCCAAAAGCACCCGTCCTCCTTTCCAGAAAACTGGTGGCCAAAAACAAAGCAGATCCTGCAATGGTCTCCCCGAATCTGATGCATCGGTTCACCTCCTGTTGTTTTACAGCAAAAATCGCTCGTAGGATCTCGTAGGTGCAGTTTCGTGAAGCCCAAAGTGCATTTGACCTGTCCACACCATTTTGCCCAAAGCTCAGTCCAATATATATATATATATATTCAAACAGGGGAACACCTGCAAACGCTTCCTCGACTTGCACCATCCTTAACCACATGCAGCCCATCTTTGATTCATCTGTACCCCATTGATATATCTTGAGATATGCTTTTGCACCCCTCCATGCAGCAACCAGATAGCTCACACCGTTCACTGCCCTGCCCCTCGACCTTGAGCACTTCGAAAAGCACCGAGGTAGTAGGACCCAGAAAGGCCCTGCGGCGCTGCGAAAGGCTTTGAGGGACCTTAATTAAAGAAAACAAACCTGGGACTTCATGTTATAGCAAGAAAAACTATGGAAAACACATAACAAAACGACGCTGGTGAAACATGGCGAAGAGATGTCTCGCATGGTTCACCCCGGACCTGTCTGCTGAAAAATGCAAGGTGTTTTGGAGACGAAACCCTGCGGCCTGAAATGCGCTGCGACCGAAGGAAGAAGCTTGCAACACCTGACAACATGCCGATGTCAGATCTGGAGAGAAATTCAGGTCAGCACTGTCAGTGCTGTCAGTTGTTCCAATCCAATGGTTTAGGGCCAAAAAGAGTAGTGCCCACGTGTGTCTAAAGCGTCGACCCTGTGGAACATGACCAAACCACAAAGCCTCCTCCCATTGAGGTGGCCCAGCACAACAGTTCTCCCGTGGATGGTCGGATTCGAGCGAAAGCATCTCGTGAAAACGAAGTCTGCATATCGAGTGCGCAAGCGGCTAGCGGCTAGCGCCTCTCAATCTCCTCATCCACCGGATTCTGATTTGAGATGATTTAAGTCAGATGGATCTGTCACACGCTCCGGTCCAACCCTGCGGCCCGTCCGTCCTTTCTTCAATGCCACCCTTCTCTCCCTGGGGCCGGACGTCAAAACACGCAAAAGAAGAACCGGTCGACCAAACCCTTGTTTTCAAGTTATTGTCATGAACACATTTGATGGAAAAGACGATTGACTGTGGTATTATCCCAAGACGACTTGATGGATAAGACCAAACCCTTGTTTGTTATTATCCCATGCATTTTCACTTTGCACGACAAGAAACGTTTGTTGTTTGTTCTTGCCAGGCTTGTGCTACTTTCATGTTCCCAAGTCCTGCTTTAGGATGATGTCCTTTTCCGTGCTTGCCGCAAAGCAACAGCGCTAAACCATACAAAATCGGTTGCGTTCTTCCGGTTGCGACTCCACTGTGCTCGCTCAACGAATACCCTTGTTCCCGGCCCGGTCCGGTGGGTGGAAGGGTGGGAGAACGACGCGTTGGATCTGCCCATGTCACACCAGCACTGTCATGTATATCGTATCAGCACTAGCATGACAGTATTGATCCCCAGACTCCCCACCTTTCGCGTGGCTCCCCCCCCAAACTCACCCTACAGTACTTAGTTCGGGTCGCGGCGGCAAACAACAAAGGCGCCCCACCTTCCAATACGATCGCGCCCACCGTAGTGGATCCATCTCCCTCAGCGGTCCGCTCCCTTTGGGCTGGGGGGAGGTTTTCCCGCTCCGCCTCCAGGAGCTGATCAAAGATCACGTGCTCAAGCAAGCCGTTGCAAACCTGGCAAGTGTTGCATCTTTCGAGATGATGTGCCCCCCTGCCGGAGCTGCAGCGAGGTAAATGACTTTGGGAGGGAGATGTCCTGGTCTGCCATCAAAGTTGGCAGAGATTCACCTGTGCTGGCTAAAATTGGAAAGGAGATGAATAACTCATCCCAGCCAGCTAAACTCTACGTAGCACCCATTTTAGTCGAGTCGATGATGTTTGGTGGACATCAAAAACAAAACGGTCATCGAGCGGATGTCAACTGCGATCAGGAAAATGGTTTGGACTCCAGGTGAGATTCTCTCTCTTTCTTTAAACATGAGGATGCTGGGCAGGCTCGGATGGCTCCAGCCATCCCCTGGGCGCCGCAGCAGGTCGCGCCAGCTGCCGGAAAACATGCGACGGCTGGAGGCGTCCGTTCGGTGTGGCCCTTGTCATCCAAGTTTGCCCACTCTCCATGAACGGCCACCGTCCAGTCTGAAAAGAGATGTTTTCGCCTGCTTCTGTCACGGACCACTAAAGGCTACAACGTCAAGCACATCAAGAAAGGACCAGTCAAGCACGGCCGCAAACGCTGTCTTCAGGGCAGACAAAGGCCAACACCGGCGCCAGTTGTGCCACACATTCGCCTTGCTTGGTCAAGAGCACGGGAGGCAGCATCCACATGGCAAGCAGTTCCCACTCACTACACCTCCATGAATTGACAAGAAGCTGACACATGGAGGTTGACACATGCCGTTTACACGGGCAAGAATTTTGTTGGCACAGTACATGTCCAAAACATGTCCAACGAACAGGCTAAACAACATCGATGCATCATATGCATCGGTGGTTCTGGGTCACCAACACTCAGCCAAAAGCCAGCTTGACGCAAAGCAACAATAAATAGATAAATACATATATATAAATATAAATATATATATTATATATATATATATTATTATTATGCAATCCTTTTCCAAGCTACAGCGACCTGTTGCACTTCGAGCAACATGTCGCACTTCGCTTCCTCATTGGACAACATCATCTACGACTCGACGAGCTGTCAGCTTGCTCTTCGCCTTCATGAGCCTTTCCTCTTTCGCTGGGGAAGACCTATGACTCGAAGAGTTCCAGTGCCTGCCAGCACCACTCAGACCTCTCAGACGTCTCAGACATCAGTCACCTCAGTCACCTGCCCGATTGGTTCGAACCTATTCGACTCCAACGATCGGTCACTGGGCCTAACTAAAAGAAGAGTATAACGGTTAAAACAGTCCGAACGGCCGTTTCGTTTCTCCTTGGGAATCGAATTTGAACAATTATTGATGAGATATATATTATGATTAATATATAAATATGATTATTTGTACACGCCCCTTCTGATCCTTCTACCACAATATAAAAGGTAAAAGCCATGAATGCAGCAAAAATGGGCCCAACCTGCTGTCCCCACCGCCCCCACCGTTCCCCGTTTCTTCCCCACGCTCTCCCACGCTCCCCATCTCCGCCTCGCGGATCTCCGCCTCCCAGCGTCGGTGCCGGGCCAGGCGCCAGCCCTTCAGGGTCACACGCGTGAGCCTCGGAACATCCAAGCGGCGTGAACTTGCGGTCAAACCGTGGAAGGACTTCGGTGTGGGTTTGGGGCCGAACGGCGGGGTCTGGGGAGGAAGGTGAAAGAGGAAGGTGTTGATAGGTTTTGGGGGGTTCAGAGTTACGGTGAACAAAGGGGAAACACCGACTTGCAGTGGATGGGAAGAATGCAGATGGGAAGAACACTTAAGTGTATATTCTCTGTTCATCATAGCGTTCGTCCATGATGTGTTTTTTGGTGATCTAGAGAGGAAGAATCGTTTCAGAAACTCTACTCTGCCTCATGTGTGACATGTGTGTGTGTGTTTTATTGTTTTTTCCTGGCGGCTTTGTGTGAGTGTTGCAAGTTCTTCCAAGAACTGTTCAACCGAAAAAGTCCGCCCTTCCAAGCTATGTCTTGCCCTGATCTCGCCTCTCCAAGTCACCAGCAACTCCACTTGGCCGCACCACCTGAAGTCCGCATCTGATCTTCAGCTTTGAACTCATTAGGAATCTGTAGGAACTTCTGGGAACAAGAAAAGACCCAAAGTTCGTCAACTGAGACTTTCTCTCCACACCGAAAAAAGATGGCGATCACTTCGAACACGTGGCGTTTTTGATCCGACCTCCGCGGGGCGGAAAAAAAGCGCAGGGGCCTCCGTGGACAGCAGATCGTCCTCGAAGGCGGCCAGCTGTTCGCGCAAGCGTAGCAGCTGCGACAGGCGCAAGAGCTGCGCCGGAGCACTGGCAGGGATATTTGGAGGAGGAGCAGGAGGAGGTCTTCAAGAGTAAGTGCACTGGTCTGTCCTCGTGCCAACGAACCAGGTCTTTCTGCGAGCAGGAAGAACGATGCCATAGTCATCTCCATACCGAGTGAAGTTTGGTCAGCCAAACTGAAGGTCAGGAGGCAGGTGGGCAAAGAAAAAACTTTGCTGGGTACAAAAAGGAGCAGCTATTCCTTCGTGCCATGGTTTTGAACAAATCTGGTACAACAAACAGAATGGGTTTTCTCAGTGCATTTCACTTCGCTTGAAATCTCTCCAGACTGGTCCACACTTCAGGTAAACGAGCATTTCTGGACCTGGTATCGACATAGATAGACAGACTGGTTCATCACCTTCCACCAATTCCAGACCATGCTGCCTTGGGAGGCCACCGTCTGCAAGGACCATGCTTCAGCCTCTCCCCTCCCACGCGGATCCCGCGGCCTCTCCAGGTGGACAGCTTTCGTGGAGGGTCCCAAAAGCATGTTGGCCAAGCTTTCGAAGTCAGGTGTCTGGCAGCAAACACAGCAACTCACACCGATCCCGCGGGCTGTCTGGCTCGTCGGTCTAGTGCTCGGTCAGCAGAGAACCCACGGGATCCGATCCGTATCATCCGTGCGGGCCGGAAGCGGTTCCGGAGAGAGAACCAGATATGACCAGATTCCTTCCAAGCCTGCAAGCTGAAGATTGCTCTTCTTCGAAACACCCGTATTTTTCACTTTACAACACTGAAATCGAATGAGTGAAGGATTTTGTTTGGCACACCAACCGAAGCGGGACTTGCTTCGTTTCGAGAACCCCCTTGGTGTTGGCTCACATCCGAAGGAGGTTCTTGTCGCCCAAGAGTGAACACCGCCTTCCGCCAACTCCATGTTCACCGCCTTGGCGGCTTGTTCTGCATCTGCATCTCTGTTTCTCTTAGGCTATACCGGTCCTCGACAGACCTCGCGAGACCTCGGTCGCCCCACATCGAACGGGGAGACCGACAGAGACCGCCAGGGCCTCTAAGACTCGGTAGCAAGCGGCCAAGAGCTTCAGGGCTCTGTCGTTGAAGCCAGGCACCTGGCCGCCCCGTCGGATGGCCGGGCTTGACTTGTTCGATGTTTTCGCTCGGATCGGCTTGACCTGTAACCCTGACTGGTGCGACGAAAGTGGTGAATAAGGAGTCAAGGAGGTTCAGCTTCTAGGGACTGAGAGAGATCCCCGGATCTTCGGCTTTTGAGACTTCCTTCACATGGATTACAGTATAAGGGAAGGTTTGCCCCCGATAGAGAATGCATTGGATTGATTCCATTGGATGCATTCCCTCCTAAGCACATGTCAGTTTTTGATACTGGGAAGAGGGTCGTGTTTTTCATGGGCTTTGGACGGCTTCTCGGACCTAGTGTGGCCCAAAAAACAATAAAAGAACTTCGGTCGGTGACTGCTTTGGGTGATATAATCTTAAAACACAATGTAAACACGGAGTTGAGGAACCCCCCCATTCATTGTGGCCAAACATGTTCCGGAACCATACCGACTGCCGTTCGGTTAAACTGGCATCTTCTGGCCAATGTTCCAAATCTGAGGACCCAGGACCCCCTTCCCCGTTTGGGCTGACCCAGGACCGCCTTCCAAATTTGAGGACCCTTGACCCTGAAACGACCCCAATTCGTAAACATATTTCCAGTCCCATCGGTCGTCTTTTGGTCATGTTGTTCTTTTTGTTTATCCAGAACAATATAAGCTTGCCAAAAGGAAGAAATGAACAAAGCCACTCAACCAAGACTTCTGGAGATGATGATCGACCATTCCGAAGGACGGACAAACAACATAAAGGCAGGGGTACCTTCAGGCGGGGTGTGTGTGAGTGTGCGTGTGTTTTAACTGTGCCATACACTGCCTTTGGGCTGGTTGACCACTAGATAGCTTAGCAACAAAGCAGTGATGCTTCAACCCCACGCAAAGAGGTTCTGTAGAACTCTAAAATCTCCACACACCTGCCAATTATGCGAGATTATATATACTATATCGGACGCGTCCAACGGACCGATGATCAGCGAATCCGACATGGTGCAATGGTGGTGCTTTCATAGGTGCAACATGTGCGAAAACCACCGGAGGGGAGAACGACTCAGTTCGCTGTTCGCAAGCAAGGATCTGATGCATCCTTCTCCAAGTCCACTGCAGACCTTGCAGCATGGCCACCCTTTGATGGACTTGGAGAGATCGTCACCTGGTCCCTGACTGGATCCAAGCACATGGAGATTGCACCACGTGAGGTTCATCTTCTGTTGATCCCCATCTCCAACTTTTGTGGTTGTCCAACAGGGCGAATCAAGGGCTCACAAGAAGAACACGTGTTCAACACATCTGCATGATGGAGGAAACACACTGGGACTTCACAAGCTTGACCCCACATAGAGGAAAAAGCTTGTGAATCTCTTTTCCCTGAAAAGGTTTGGCCAAAAGTGTGATTTCGGATCCGCACGTGACAAACCAAGACCCAAGCGACAAAGACTTCGCCAAGCGTCAACTCTTGACGCGCCAACCGCACCAGCTGCTGCTGTGCTGCAGCGAACATCTCCCGCAAAGCCAAGCGGACCTGTTTTTCAGCTGACGAAAGGCTTTGGTATCTGCACGAACTCGGACCCTATGTGCCACATGTCGGACCCTACGGACCCTGCTCGACGTGGTCAGACAGGGTAGAGGGTGTCTTATGAACCGGTGAAATAGCCTCCTCATGCCTCCTCTAATGTATTCTTGAGAAAGATCTGGGGCATGCCCTTCAAACAAGCTACATTCGGGCTGTCAATTAGGGGATAATATTTAAAGTTTAAAGGACGGAGATTCATTCTCAAGGAGAAAAAACAAAGAAGGACCGGAACTTCCACATTCCTTCAACACCTCCTTCCTTTCGGCAATCAGTCAAACCAACAATTCCACAAAGTATGCCCTTTCTGCAACCCCTGTTTCCATGCACAAAATTCTGAGTGCCCTGGCGGACACCCAGGCAAACCACTTCACGAAAGCCTTTGGCATAACAAACCTCCGCGCATGCGTGCGGATCCGCGAGACAACGCGCCTCAAGAGCCCCCCCGGAAGTCTTGGAGCTCTGCCTGCGAGTTTCGGAAATGCTACAAATCAGGTGGATGTGCTGTGCTTATTCTAACCCCAAATGTCTTGCTTCTGAATGTAGCAAAACGGCTCTTAGTCCTCGAGACCTTCATTGACCTGCAGACCTGGCTGTGGCAACTTCCGCGTCGGTGGATACCATGAAAGAGACCACTAGTTGCACTCCAAGAGGCCACCAAGGTGGCAGTGGGAAAGGAACTGTTGCTATCAAGATCAGGAAATGAAAGGAAAAGAGAACCCAACTGTTGCTGTCACGAGTTCAGGCCAGATTCACTTTGAGCTTAGCTCGAGACCAGAAGCCTGCTGCGTACAGCGTCCAACGAATGTGGTCAAGACGTCTACTCTCTGTGACTTGAGAGGACGGGACAAAACTGCCTGCATCTTTTTCTTTGGGTCGTCTCGTCTGATCTCTGATCTCCGTGTCCACTGTGGGCAGTGGGTCATGGCACCGGGCTCGCCTTCAGCAGCTCCGCAGCGCTTGCCAGGGCCTCCCACGACTCGTGCTCACGCAAGGCGGGCAGCAGCACCTCGGGTAAACCCGTGGGTGAAAGGAAGCCGCAGGAAAGCTCCAGGAGAAGCCGCAGGAAAGCTGTTGCAAATGATTCTGATCGGGTTCGGCCAAGGCGGTGCTACAAATCGATCTTTCCTGAGTTCATCAATGCCTCTTATGCTTTGATTCTTGATGGAAAGGTCCCTGTTCTCTGGGCTCTTCAAAAGCCGTGGGTCGACGTGTTGTTCGCCCCAAGGGTGATTGGGAGCCCCCCAAAACTGCCGCTCAGATCGGAAAGGGTCCCACCTGGCAACACCGGTGGCAGAGCTCCTTCAAAAGGGACTGGAGCGCCTTGAAGCGAAGCCAGCGAAGCGAGTTACGGCACCCGTCCTTTCCTTCGAAGACGCCCAGTGGCCTCCAGTTCTCCCATGCGAGAGGGAATGAAAAACAAGGACATCAAGAGATCAACCACCCGGCTGGAAAAAAAAAAGGCTATGGTCCACTCCTGAGACGCGCCTGGGACGCTCCTGGTCTGCCCGGTCTGCGCGGGTTTTAAAGGGAAACAAGTCTGGGCCACTTGTCAACGTCATCCACCTGCAGTCTGGGCCATCAAATATGGGTTGCTGGGTGCGTGTTTGTTCTGTATGACGACCATTCACTGGACTCCGATCAAGGACGACCATTCAATCCTCCACCCACCTAAACTACAGATCGTCAGCTGTTCATAACAGTAACCCATGCTGTTCATGGGAAGCTCCAAAGTTCTGAATGGATTAAATGCAACACACACCAGAGCAGAACTGATGACTTTGCACGTGAGTTGCATGTTCGCTGGATGATCTGTCTTCCCATGTTCTTCCCATGGTTTCCATGAGCAGAACCCTCCCCCAGCCAGCGAACCGTCTCGGCTGTTCGGGTTCCGTTCGGGTTCCGTTCGGGTTCCGTTCGGGTTCCTCGGAACGGCCTCCTGGGGCCGCCGTGGCTCGAAGAAGGCTTCGAAGCAGCGGATCTCCCGCGAGGAGGTGTCCAACAGGTAGCTCGTGGCTTGCCTGGAAAGAGATGGCGCCATGGAAGGAAATGACAGAAATGACAGAAGCACCCACGAATCAGGAAGGAGTCACTGGGTGTGCCTGATGAAACGCAAATGTCTGGTGGTCACTTGGTGGTCAAAGAAAAACGATGAGTCCTTTTTTGCCATGATGTAGTGGAGCCATTGTTGTCCGGTACTGTAGATTACATGATTGCATGGATGTTTGGAATCTATCCTCTTCCGATCCGAACATCTGGCAGCATGGCTTCTAAAGCCGACAGGGACGGTTCTACTGCCACCTTCCTCCGCCCAGAACAGGCCTCACCAACTCCGGAAGCTCTGGAGTCAATTCCTCGCCGAACGCGAGGAACGCGCGCGTTAGGAGCTCCACCGGTGCTCGCTTTCACCGGTGCCTCCGTGGGATCTTCGAACCGGCGATGGTGACAGCTCGCGGGGCGCGGACGAACACCCGGCCGTGCACGGATGGTCCGTCGGGTCAAGCGGCAGTGCACGGAATAAGAGGGAAATGCCACGCTGATCAAGGTTGTATAATATATTATATATATATCTATTATATATATACAGCGAATCTCGCAACTCCTGACACCTTCATGGAAGGCGTAGCCGCGTAGCCTTCCTCTAGAAACCAGTGTGGCTGGGACGAATTTCTTCCATTTCATTCAGCTCGACTCCTCCGGACCCCATTGCGTGTCTCCTTCAGTGACTCCCAATGGGTAGCTGGGAAGCTTCTTCGCAGATCTGCCAGAGATGATTCAGCTGCATCCAGTGTTGCAGCCTCAATTCTCAGTCACCCTGGAGTCTCTGGAGCCCAAACTCACATTTCAGGGTGCCTGGCTTGCTCTTGACCCACAGTCAACTCAGTACCTCATATCCTAATTTATTATTGATTAATTGATTCATACGGCTCCTAGAAAGGATCCTCCTCCGGAATCTGCCGACCGTCACCGTCGAGAAGGCATGAGGGATCAGCCAGTTCCTCTCCCAGCCGGACTCGACGAGGTTTGGCTCTTCAGGGGTCGAACTCCAACGAACAGACCCTGTTGGCCTTCCCACCCTGCGATGAGCCCAAACAGAGCCGGACAGAGCCCGGCAGCGTATTGCCGATGAAGATGCGACTGTCGGTAAAGCACGGACATGGCAGGCTTCACACTCCTCAGTGTTTGGGCGGAGACGCGCGAAAAGAGCGCACACGCAGGTTCCGGCCAGCCATTTGGGGTTAGAATGAGTATATAATATATATATATATGTTTAAATGAGTTAAAGAGAAATTGCACCGGACGAACTACCCCTGGTGCGGCTGGGACGTTGTAGTATCACGGCCGGCTCCCTTCAGAAGGTGTTCTGAGGTTTACAGTTGACAGATCAATACGCTCACCCGCAGAGATCACAAAAAACATCCACGACCACCTCTTTGATTTCTCAACAACGAACCGGTTCATCAGCCTCGCCATGCCGCTCGGTCCAACGATGGGGTCGGGCCATGGGGTCAGTCGCGCGAAGGCGAAGGGTGGGCGGGTTGGTGTCTGAAAATGGCAAGTCCGTGGGGCCTATTGTCCCGGGTGCGGGGCTGGTTCTCCTGAAAATGCCAAGGCACGGGGCAATCATGTGAAACGATGTGTAAAAAATCTGAGTGTCGACCGACGTCGCATCCTCCTCCTGGAGATTCGCGAAGGGCATTCGGACAATTCGGAAAAGGGGCGTGATCTTGTTGAATCACAAAGTTGCAGAAATGATGGCAAGCTGTGACAAACATGTGTTCTTGCCTTGACCCTTGGAAAGGGATGTCGAGAAAACAATGGGACAGCCTCGAAAAAAGTGATGGCCCCTCATATATAATTACTAAGTAACATATAGTAACGTAACAAATGGAAACAGTGCAACAACAAACAAAACAAGGTGAGCACGAAAAGCCAAAAGCAAAACAGGGGCATGCTGTTTTTTTGCTGAGCTGTTGGTGAAATCTGCATGCGGGCGACGACGCGGGAGTACGAAGCAGAACGTCAGAGCCAGGAAGCAACTAGCAACCAGAAGCTACCAAACGGGGAAAAGAATGTGTGAACAAATATGAAGTGTTCAGTGAGGAAGTTGAGGGTCCAGTCTGTAGTTTCCCGTGCCCTTTGCGGGCACAGACTGGCAGGGACTGATGTCAAGAGTTAGCTTTAAAAAAATAGTAATAAAGGTAATTGTGTTCTGTTCCCCTTTGGTGCAACATAGGGTGCCAAAAGTATGCGGTGAAGAGTCCAATCCGTTCAAACCCGTAGGTTGATATGTAAACGTCTGAAGAATGTTCATCTGATTTAATTCTGTCGCAGGATGGTTTTTGGATGTCTAGTTGCATGGTTTGCTGCTTCGGGTTTCCCCCTTGGAGGCTAGGATACTATCATGGTTTGACCAAGGAGATTCAGATTTAAATCTGTCTCATCAAGGCCAGTGTCACTGTTTGAGAAAAAGCCAATGTTGGATTCAATTCCTTTTCTGATGTTGTTTACGATGTTTGTTTGGATGCCTTTGGGAGATGAATCAAACAGAAAGGTTTGGACGAGGAAGGGCCAACCAGCCTCATCAAGGCCACTTTTTCAGTTCATGTGTCCACAGTGTTCTTTGGGATGTCTGCTTAGGGTATAGCTTGGGGAGATTAGTCAAATGGAAAGGTTTGACACAGCCTCATACAGGCCAGTTTTTGAAAAAAAAGACTTGCAGTATATAACGTTGGACCTAATTCGTTTACATTATGTTTTTGGGATGTCTGTTTCGGGTATACCTTCGGGAGATTAGGAACATAGAAAGGTTTGGACCAGGGAGAGTTGATAATAGCATCAGAGAAGAGTGGACAACTGAAATTAAATTTCGAATTCAGTCCTTCATGAAAATTGAGCAGCATTTTGAAAACGTGAGTAAAGTCTGGAGGTAATTCTTGGTAGAACAAGTGCAATGAACAAGAATCAAACCTAGAGGTGATTCTTTTATGCCAAGACACATGAAAAGAATAAACTCTGGAGCTGATTCATGGAACTACCATGCCAGCAGACTCAAATGACGAGAACTATACTCCTTTTCTGTGAAACCAACAGACAGTGCACTTGATCTTGCAAACACACGTAGTAGTTGCGTCCTGCCATTTGCTCGTGACGGTGCGAAGTTTGTTGAACTCCTTGGGGTTTTCTGCTGGTCTATCAGCGGAGCATTGACAGTTCCCACGGTGTCTTATTGGCCTGAAGCAAGTTCTGATACGGTGAGCACAGCTGTGTGCACTTCTATGTGCGAAGAACATCTTGCCCGGTGGCTGGAGATTCGTCAACTCCTCCTCTAAAAGCTGCCAGGAAAGCTCCAAGCCAGGGTGCATCATGTGCATCGTGGTGTTGCGTTCCGCCCCGGTAAGGTATCACGTCGAACGGGCGAGCAACGAGTTGTCTCGACAGATCCACACGCCCACCGTCCCTGGACCGCACTCCTCCCCTCCGGTGCCGCGAAGTATGTTCCACTTCAACATGTCCATCATCCTTCCTATTCCGAAATCTTCCGCAAGGGTCATTCTGCCATCTGCAGTGCCTCAGCATTTTCTCGTTCCCAGATCCTTTAGGAAAAACAACCAGGAGGTTGCTGCGCAAAACCCAGATGCCGTCGAAAAAGAATAGAATGCCAAACGCCCTTCCCAAGCCCCGGAGGGTCCTGCTGCCACAAGAGATCTTGAACCTGCGAATCGGCCGCCTGCGCGAGATCCGTGGACTCGTGCGGCGAACGTCGCGTCGCCCCCATCGGTCTGGTCCGTTCTGGTCCCGTCCCACACCTCCAGCGCATACTGCAGGTTGCTGCGCAGAAGGATACAAACCTGAAAATTCCGAAAGGCTGTTTGGGCGCTCCAAAAGGTGATGCTCCTGTCCGAAGCAAAGCAGCAAAGCCAATCAAAGGTGTCTGTTCGAAGTTGCTTCATCAATACACACACGTTGTAAGCAAGCATAGGTCCAATCTGCCGCGAAAACAGGGAACCTGAATCATCTAGTGATATATCATGTCCCTGTTCTGTGTTTGGTTTAGAGATGTTTAGAGTCTAGATTGTGCCCTTACTAAACCAAAAATATCGGCCACCCTGTCAAAAATCATGACCGAGTCCCATTTTTGATGGCAGAACATGCGCATGGCAGCTTGTTGAGGCCTCTATATAGGCTGTGTAATGAAATCAGTTGCTTTCCTCGAAAAGCAATGATTGGCCCAGTTGACCATGGAAAATCTACTGAGACAAGCCATTGTCCAGGTTCCTTGACCTCAAAAGTCCAATCAGCGGGTGTTCCTTGTCATAAAAAGGTGTTGGGTGGTGACTGTGGAACTGCATTATTGTGGTGACTGGGTCCGCCCAGTCTCTCTCATAGGTCTCCAACACACTCCAAGGTAAAAACCCAACAGCAAAGGGACACAATAATTGGATAGATAACAGTCTCTTTCACAACCCCGTTTTTCTGATAGAAATTGAACATCGCATAAAGCAAACTTGTAGAAAGCAGAACGGGAACCCGAATTCCTCTTCCAAAAATATGGTTCCTCTTCGAGGGATCTGGCCCCATCCGGACGCCGAGATGGGGAGAAGTCTTTAAACGGCCTCATCCACACGAAGGAAGTCGGTTGGAAACCAGAGTTTTATACACAAAGCTTACTTAGATTCGAGGGGATGGTAACCGGCACACCAAAAGTCTCAAAAGTCTTGGTTTGAGAGGGGGGGTCGAACGTCTGTGTCAGTTGTCCAAAAGAAGAAGCCGAGAAGCCAATGCCAAACCAATGATGCCAACGCACAGAATCGGTGCGGTACCATTTTGGACTGCCATATAGTTCTTTTGTTGCTCCATACTTGCAGGTCCCCCACGCCCAGTCGGATTCAAGCCATGTCACTCGATTTCGAAGGTGGTCGAAGGTATTCCTAGCAGCACAAGCGCAAGCAGCACATGCATGCCGACCCTTTTGGAGTGGTCGATCGGTGTTCTCATTCCCTAAAGTCAAAGATGGTCATACAAAACCAATACTTAAGGAGGTAAACAACCAGGTTTTACTGGGTCTTTCGACTTGTAGGGATTCATCAACCTGTTCCTGCAACCCGTTCCTGCAACTTGGAGCGTCCAGGAAGTCATAGCGCGACTCGACAAAGGCCGCTGCAGCTTCCAAACCTCCGGCCGTCGCGGCTCTTCACGAGATGTTTCACATATTGTCACAAGGGGTGAAATATGTTCACGAGTTCACAATATGTTCAAGGTTTCCCTGAAAAAAATAAAACTCAAATACTTTGAACATGTTCACAATATCTTTGTAAGGTTTCCCTGTTTCATCATGATGTTCACGCAGCTTGGCCACCGGGGTGTTTTTATTGTGCATAATGCACCAGACACACGACTGCGTAGTCTGTGGAAGTAAGGCGATCTGGCTTTACCGTAGCATCTTGACTATTCTGGCCTTGAGATTCCTTGCACCCTTTTTCTCTGTGTCCAACCTCCTGAAAGGTCCACCCAGTTTCGCCCAGTTTCGCGTTTCGCCTGTAGCAGAAGCAAACATCCATTGAAGAATCCCCTCCCCAGCAGCAGCGGTCTTGTGGTCCGCGACCGAGGGAACTCACTTTGGTCACCCTTCCATCCACGTGACGCGATCGACGGCGACCGTCGATGTGTAGGACGCCCAAGAGACGCTGCAGAAGCTCCTCCAGCTGGACCGGTCGTGACACCAGCTCCGAGTCGTCCAACTCCTAAGCCACGGAAACAGGGGCGCGTCGATGCTGGGGGTGCTGGAACTGGAATTCGAACGTTGTCACCTGGTTGTTCAAGAAGCTACTATAATAAGCTTAAAGGGAATTACTGGCGTTCTGTTCTTCACCATCCAAAAGCTTTTATTCGTGCAACTTCTACATGGTCGGCCCACCTTGATTGAGGCCCAAATCCAGTGTCTAATGATTCTAATGTGTGTTCCTGTGTCTATATGATTCACCAGAAAACCTTTGGTGAAACCGTCACAAAAAAAACAGGCCAGAAGAGAAATCACACCTACAATTCCCATCGTTTGAATAGCAGCTTTCCATGTTGGGTGACATGGATTCCGCAAAGAAACTGGCAACAGAATGTTCCATCGCAAGAAAGTGAAAAATCAAGAACATGAAGGTAGAACGGCAAAAACATTTTTTGTCATCTGCAAAATACAAAAACAGTTTCAAAACACCCTTGCCTTGGCGATGGAGTCAAAGCAGCACAAGGCTTCTAACCTGCAGTTCTTTGAGCAAGAAGGTTCCAATTCCACAAAACACATGCGTCATTCCGAATCATCAAAACATCTCTCAGAGAAGGCTTGTCCAAACTCTTTTAGACGTTGGGGTGCTAGTGCGCCATCTGGTCAGTTTTAGAGTATTTCTGGCCTCCCAGCAATCTGCTCTGCATAGGCATTAAGATGGTCTTGATGTTCCAAAGCCTCCTCGAATGCAGGATGGCTCAGGATGGGAGAACGAAAACACTGCGAACTTGAACATGCACAGTCAGCGGACAAGCGTGTGATCACTCAGCTCCCTTTCTCGCGCATCTCGGACCGGAACGGAGAATACGGCTACCGGCCGGCAGGGATGGCGGGAACACCTCTTTTTGGGGTGGAAAATGGAGCTACAGCTACTTCACCTGGTCGAGAATTTTGAGGAAAAAAAAAAGGAAGTGCGACGTCCCGATAAAACCGCCGCGGGTCGCATGAAGGGTACAGGGACAGGTGGGAGTGTAAAACCAAGAATGTGCAAAAGGAAAGAGAGAGAGAGAGAGAGAGAGAGAAAAAAAAAGAAGAAACATCTATATAAATATGAAGGCTACCTAAATGATGAAGTCCAGTGAAACCGAAAACATCAACAAAGCAGGGAGGCAGGAAACCAAAGCGGCACGAATCGACATATGGCATTTGCACAGGATAATGACTGTTGCTTCAAAGGATGCGTCCTCACACATGGTGCTCCTCCCGACATGATGCTTGTTTTCCCCACTGGTCCTCCTCCATTGCCATGGTGCTTAGGTGCTGAGGATCTAGGGATCTGAACGACACCATCGGCTGCGTCCAGATGAATCCGGGGAGCTCCGAACACCACTCGGCAAAAGCCCAAACCCAGTCGGACCGGGCGAACCCTCGTCGGCGAACCACATGAAAGAGAGCATGGAAGTCACATGAAGTCACCAGCTGTTCCCAGCTGAACACGACACCTTCCGAAGTCTCCTGGCAATGGTTTCGAAGCCATCTCGTCTTCCGCTCCAACTCTCGTTGCTCTGCCTGGACCACGAGAGTCAGCCCCCGGCAGACCCGACAGTCCAGAATCCGACCTACGACAGACTGACTAGGGACATCCGACCTACGCCAGTCTGTCTCTACCGTGTCCACAGACGGTCTACAGCAAACCCAATGTAAATCCCCCGAGACCCCCAGACTTGCCACTTCTGGTTGCATAGCCTGACAGTCTTCCCCTTGTTTGCACGCTGGCTTTGGACAAAAGTCAACATGGCATGACATAAATATGGTATTGCAACACAATCATTATGATCCTTCTCATTCTGGTCAATGGCCCCCAGTATTTCTGCTTACATCTCTCCATCTCTGCTCCCCAGTGCTTGCCACCTCCGCCGAACCAGCCAGGTGGACAGCCGAAGCGCGCCTCCACGTGCTTCAGCTTCGCCATCACCAGCTGCTGGGCCTCTTCCGCCGCGGAACTGACCTGGTGCAGCTGCTGGAGCCATCCAAGGCCTCGGTGTGTGGCGCCGAGCCCAGGGCGCTCGAGGCCTTGGGTGGGAAAGGCACCGCTTCGGTGGGGGCAGCATGGTTGGAATTAATCCATGGCAGCACATGGATCTGTAGGTGGAATGGGAAGACTACAAGGCTTATATAGGCAATCTATAGCCCCTCCATGGGAACTTTGAGTCTTTCCGCATGGGTCTTTGTGACCCTTAAGAGCCTAGAGCTCTAAAGGGGGCAAAGGCCGGTTGCTTCTGTCCAGTCTCCAATCTCCCGATTGGAAGTGGCAGCTCGCGCCACAATGGAAGAGGTGACCTACCTGATGTCCAAGTGGCGTTGGCTTTGAGCATCACCTTCTTTGCCTCGGAGTCACTCGTTCCCCCACGAGGACGCGTCACTCGTGTGGAGCTCCGAGGAACTGAAAGCGGGTGGTGTTGAGGAAATGGTTCAGCTCAGTCGCTTGGGTTCCATCGACTGAGTTGTGTAGCCTAGTGTCGGATGTCTGGGCTTTTTTGTGGTGCTTGCGAAAGCAGCTTTGTTCCAGAGGTGGGTCACGGCCAATGCAAGAAAGCTACCGTTCGCATCCTGGTTCTTCGCTCCCGTTTCGATGACACTACATGAGACGTTAGCTCTGGGCGCCGTTCAGAGTTCTGTTCAGATTGATCTGTTGGATTTCATGGTCCAAGACCTGGCAACCTGTGAAGAATGTGATCTCCGAGAGCCTCGCAGCTCCTTCAATGCTATGACAGGAGGAATTTTCAACTTTCTGTGGATGCGCATCCAAAAGGGACACCCCTCTGCTCAAGCAAACAGAATCCCCGTTGTCATTGGAGATCTACCTCAGTTGGAGATCTACCTCAGTTGGAGATCTACCTCCGTTGATCTAGGCTGGAGGCCATCGCCACGAACGTAACAAGAAGCTAGTAACAAGTGCTTCCTGGGTCTGCCTTCCTCTCAAGTCTGCCGCGGCACGCCGAGCTGCCTGGCAGGTGACCGGGGGGTCCACCGGACTTGGAGAACTGGGTTGATGAGTCGAAAATGGACATTGGGACGGTGTTTGATTCAGCCATATGGATGTGTGTTAAGAAGAATAGAGAACCTCCCGACAAAAAAACACATCTGGTCAAAAGGTAAGAGAGATCCAAAGCTCAGAAGAACGGTATTGCCAAGCGAGCGGGTCCAAGCGGGTCCAAATGATGTCATATAAAAGTTATCATAGAACCCCCCAGTGTCTCATCTGAGGAATCTGCAAGTGGATTTCACAATTGGAGATGGGTGTCCCACTTCCAAGCTAGCTCTTGGTGCCCTTGGTTCACCACATGTTCAGCCTGCAATTCATGGGGACTACGAGGTCAGTGACTACCAAGCCATGCATTCCCCATGCATTCCCCATAGGTACCTCCTAGGTAGAAGCCAAACCTCTGGGCCCCAAAGAAAGGCCCCATCAGAAACCGCTCTCCCCGGTCTCCCCAGTCATCTGTTCACCCAAAGTGACCGCTGCGGAGCGACCGCGGCCTGCTGGTCGAGGCATCTCTTCCGCAAGGCCTGGCGATAGACCCGAACCAAGTCTCCCCCCTTTAACGAAGGGGAGTCAAGAAAACACCCCAGGTTCCCCAGACCACGGGTCAAACGTTGGAAGTTGAGACCTGATGTATACCACTCAATTACGTGTAGATGTAATGTGTATATATATATATATATTGTGTATGAGTATGTATGTGATTGCCTAACCTAGGTACACTCCGAAGCTCTGATGAAAATTATTTGTTGCTTCCCATGCGCCACAGCATCAAAAGAAGGCCCGTGCAACTGAAAAACTGAGACCTCCTGCCTGCTTGGGTCTGTCTCACGGCAAACTAAATGATTTGGATTGATTTTGGAACTGATGAACAACAATTAATAACCTAATGCCTCACCTTGTCGTCATTTTCGTTGAATTTTGATGATTTTTGCACGTGCTCTCGCCATGCGGTGTAACCAACACCACTACGTTACATCGCCCAAACTGCCTGAAATGCAGCGAAGTCATCGCAGAACTTCGCGTCTTCTTCGGGCGCCTCCTTCAAGGATCGGACGAAAGCAAGACGAAGGCGCCGTCTTGCGGTGCGCTGGTGGTAGAAACGTGGGGGGTCTCTTCGTCCCGGGGTGAAAGGGAGGGAGGGCGAAATCCCCCGGCTGCCCCCGGGTGATTCTTCCGCCAAGTACTGGTTCCAAGGCGATCCAAGGGCAAAAGAAATCCAACACCTCGGCAAGTTCGAATAGGGTTGGGATGATGCAAAACACTGGGGAGAATTGTGGTGACTTGCTACTTCGGGGTCAGCAACAGGCCATAAAGATTGCCTTTCGTACACCCAATGGAAGTGGGAAACCCCAGAAAGTGCAGGCCACAACATGTTTTATTGATATGTGAACAAGTCTGCTAGCAACAGTGCTAACTCTACCAGGCTTGAAGTGAAGATGGGTACAGGTTTACCACCAAGCCAAGATCCACCAGCCAAAGTTGTCTTGTTGCTCAGTATTTTCTTTAATTCAAGTCTTCATCCCTCCAGTGGCTGACTCTGCAGAGCACCGGAAGTGCTTGGATACCGACAGTCCCCCGACGCAGGAAGAATATATAGTCATTGAATAGTCCGATTCACTGGCTTGCAGGAGAATGAATAGTCGCCCTAGAACAATAACACAGCAAAAGCAACTTGAAGAACAAGGCGTATAAACTGATGTAAATCAGCTGCAGCCCAAACCTCCCATCCATTCCAAACCTTGCTTTAGGGTCATCTAGTCATCTAGTCATCAAATAGAATCAATGAAGATTTCATGGAACATCCTTCTGCACAGTTGGTGATTTTGCGGATCCGGCTTCGGCCTCCTGGCAGCTGGCCAACTCCTGCCAGCTGGCCAAACCGGACCATCGAATTCAAACCTTCAACGACATTCAAGTGACACATTCGTGTCACTGCCGCGTTGGCCTTGCAAGGGACTAAGGGAAAATGTATGTTTAACATGTTTTAACCAGAATCACATAAAAGAAAAGAGACAGAGAAAGTGAGAGAAAACAAATATCCTAAATTCCTTCTGTAAACCCAAGTATTGCTTTGCGCCTCCAGCAATTTTTCCTGCCGCACTGGCAGGACCACATCCTCCATCTCGCTCCATGCACCCTTCTCCCAAACACGGCGGGACGTCTCCGGACGTCCCGTGAGGCCGTCAAGGCTGGTGAGACCGGGCGAGGTCGGCGCGATGTTGGATGAGATTCAATTCGGCCTCTTTGACGGACTGGGAAAGCCAAGCGAAAGCCAAGCCTGATCGTGACTTTAGTGTAGAGACTGATCCTGTCTGTGGGTTTGGAGTTGTCTTTTCTGTGATGTTTTGATGAGCTCCATGCCATGAACTGTCTGCTTCATCTAATATATATATATATACATATACAGTATATGACCACGCCCAAACGTGGCCAAATGGCTGCAGGCATCAGATCATCATAAAGCTACCATCAATCAAACGGCGGGCTCTTCTTTCAAAACGGAACATATCGACATCAGCATTCCTCTTCACCCTCAGAGAAGCCAAGGACCTCCAAGGACCACAGACAGAAAGAAATAACTCCATGAAACCTCTCTCAGAGTCTAAACACGTCCAATATCTTCCCCACCCCGAAGTCTCGCAGCCCGGATCGCCGTCGCAAGATCCTTCCTCGCTCGATGAAACACGGCAGTCTCCCGTGGCCGCCGTGGCGGCCGCCTCTGCGTTGCCGTGGCAAAAGAGGATGACACCAGCAGCCCGCGGGGCTGGAAGCCTGGCGAGTGGGTTGCAGGTGGAGCCTGACCACCAGGTGAACCCAAGATCCTCGAACATGAGGGTTTGTGGAGCTTCAAAGTCTAATCTGTGGGTTTGTGGAGCTGGCTGTTCTGCGAGGCGAAGAACTCTTCATGACTCCGGCTCCACCTCTTCAGATCCCCAGCAAACACCTCTCAACTAGAGATCCGCTGATCCAACTATATATAAATGGCAGTCAAATCTTCTGTACCGGAGCTTCACTAGAGATCAGCCTCCCTTTGGCGCTGAAGGCGTCCCACCATGTTTGGGAGCTGTTTTCAAAGAACATGCCCCTTCAGAACCACCTTCACAGAAGCCTCCGCAGGGTCCCTCATGGTGCATCGGTCCAGGGTGCGGCCCGGCGCACGACCCGACCGATCCAACTTCCGGACACGGCCCCGGTGAGCGGGACCATCTGGGAGCCACTGAGAGGACCATCAGTGCACGTGGAGCCACCGGGCTGGGGAGGAACTCGTCCTTTATCACTTGGCCTTTAAACAACTCATAACAACTCAACAACACATGACATTGATGGTTTCGATTCTAAGGCATTGAATCTGTGGAGAAAACGTAAAAAAATCCCCAAGAGCCGTCCAAGTTGAACGTCCAAACACAACGTCGTACTGCCAATCGCCCGTTCGGTTCCTTCGTCTTACCGTACCGAACGGCAGTGTAGTTCCAGCACTGGCGCTCTCAAAGGCCCACGAGACGGCAGTCCCAGCGGTTCTCAACAGGTCGGAGGTGCCACACGCACGGAATGCCCTCAGCAAACCTGGGCTGGTCGTCCGTGGGATGCAGTCGTTACACGGCAAAACACACACGGTCATTCTGTCGGTCTTTTTCTGTGTCGCTCGCATGCATGATTTTTTATGCGATGCCAGTGCCCCAATACCTCCTCCGCTGCTCCCTGGAGTGGGTCTCCTCCGTTGGTCTCTCCGCTCCGCCGGTCCGGGGGGTCCGTCCGTTGGGTCCGTTCCACCAGCCATCCACATCAGCCCTCCTCCAGCGTTGTCCGGTCACCCACGGGTCGTCAACGGGAGTGAAGAGCCGCGCCTCTCGTCGTCGACCCGTTCGGGAGACACCTTGGGGTTGACAGAGGCTGAAAGAGGCGCAGGGACGCAAGAGGAAGCGTTCAGAATCAGAAGAGTTTTCAGAATGCAGAATCAGAGTGGCCGGCCTGCTTTCACACAACTGCTACGCGTTTCAGGCTCTCTGGGGCTCGACCCAGCTTGACCCAGCTTGACCCAGGCGCCCAGGCCGCCTCGTTCCAAGGAATCCAGCACAAATGCCTTGGTGAGACTGGGCTATGGTGCAAGTTGTGTGATGACCATCGGGAGCGGCTCAGACCTTGGACAGACCAGTGGTTGACTCATCTTGGACAGACCTGTTGGTTGCAAAAGGATTCAATGAATTTCAATTATACAACAATTATATAAATCATCAAGACATCATTCCTCAATCGGCTTGGTGACGTCCAGCCACTCCTTCAAACGGGGGTGAAAACCCTCCGCCGCTCCAAACTGACCCACGCATCTCTCCAAACGGGCGGCTTCTTGAAGGCGTCCTGCGACAGATGGGCGTGGATCGCGGATGCGCCCAAATCAAGTGTGATCGACATTCATCATCGATTCTAGTGGATTGATAGTCAGATGGCGCAATCCCCAAGTTTGGAGGTTATAATATGTGGCCCCCCATATACAAAAACAAACCGTGGGGGTTGTGCCATTTATGTACTCTGAAACCACCGTAAGAAGTGGGTGTGATCCACGGTGGCTTGGGCATAAATCCATGGGAGAGTCAGAAATCCCAACCACCGGCGGGCGAAGCGCCTGTCCACGCCTATGGACACGTATGACACGTACGCGTGCTCGTGTACGCGCATAGCGCGCTGCCCACGTGCTCGTTCGTGGAAGCGGACCCTCTGCGCTTCGGATCCAGCGGACCCTTCTGTGGGGGGTCGCCCGAGCGGAAGAACCGAGGGTCGAAACCAAAGAAGGTCGGCCAGACAGGGACAGGTCGATGGAAACACCGGCGCTCCCCGGTCCTTGCCGTAGGTCGGCTGCGGTGCTGGGAAGAGCAACTTGTCGATGAAGGCCGACCTCAGTTGAGGTGAATGGGATGTGAGAAACCCAACGAATTGTTTGGGGCATGTGCACACATATTGAATATTGCATATAGATACATCAGATACGTTATGTCTATATACATATATTATAAATTATAACTATAAAATATCACGAGTCACAAACCTCTGACTTGTCCAAAGGAAGAGCTGAGCCGGCAATCCTTGATATAGCCGCTCAGTGGGCTAGCCAAGTGCTGAGCGGTTTGTGCTAGATGATCGAACCAGACCGTGATTTACAGGGGCCAACGCGAACCAAATCCACCCATATGTGAAACCCCCACCTCTCTTCTCGTCAAAATCAGCACTTCGTGTGAGTTGCATTGCTCTCCAAAGCACCAGCCCACAGCTTGGAAAGGAACATCGTCAGCCTCCAAAAGCCCAGGGGTAGCGCCCCAGCCCTCTCCTTTTGACGCCTGGGCCCTTCGGAGGCTGAACCGCTTCGGAGGCCCCTGGGCCCCGGCATAGAATGCCGGTCGCATGCCCCACCTAACCGGTTCGTCGTCTCCGTCGGGCGAAATGAGGTTTCAGAACACCACCACACACGGTAAAGACCTGGCAGGCAAAAGGATCAAAAGGTCTGATGAAAGCATGTCTTGCTTCACCGACTTTTTGTTGGTGAAGCTTCACTCGATTTCGGTGGGAGTCGTCCATCTTTGCTCGAAAGTTTCGACGTTCCAGCTTGCCATGGTGCCAGCTCATGACTCATGCCTCAACAAAGTCACCCCATTCATCCTCCCTGCCACCTCCAATTTGGGATGTGTCGTATGGGGGGCTCACTGCGCCATGGCACTCTGAGTTTACTCGAGTGGGAGGAAGGGGCGAAGGCAAGTTCTCGATGCTTTTGTCTCGTCGGATCTTGGGGGCGCACAACTTCCGATCTACATGAAGTGGTATTATGAAAACAGCCGCTTCATGAGCGAGCGATGGGTCGAAAGTGGATCATTCCGTGTCCATGGTTTGGGTCGACATCAATTGGAGTGCAAAGCTTATGTTGAAGCGTGCTACTGGATGGATGTTCATCGCCATGAGTGTCATGAAGTCTTTGCAAGAAGCCTTGAGCCGGTGTCATCCAAAATCATCTCACCAGTTCCTGGTTCTTCATTTTGGCGTGGGGTCGATCTTCGCAAATACCGATTCAAGTTGGAGCGAACGCACAATGAGGCGAACAAGCAGCGCAATGCCCGCAATAACTACAAATCAGCTGAACATCTATGCAAAATTCATCACATTTCGCCATCCTCCAGCGATTGACTTGATCATCTCCCCTACCTGGTTTCGCGTGATTTGCTTCTTCAGAGCACGGTGTCGGTTTCGAGTGCAGCTCGTGGGGTGCTGTTGCGCGACCCCAAATCGTGCAAGGAGGCGCGGAAGAGGCAGCTATGACATGGGGTCCAGTACAAGTCATATCACAAAGACCCACTGCTAACTGCTAACCTAAAAAGCACCAGGTCAGGGTTGTGTAAGCATGTCCTCAAGTCTATTGAAATTGTTAACCTGTTTCCTTTCGTACATCGTACTGGACATCCACACAAGCTTAAGCGCCAGCGTAGTATAACTCCGCATCAAAACGTCTCTGGTGCCAGAGCGGTGTATGTACCAGGAAGAGCCCTGCCCCGTAGCCCTTCAGCCTTTCAGTGCTGATCTGCTTGACAAAGCTGGAGGTATTGTGCACTTGGCCTTGCAGTTCCCTCTTGCACCGGTCTTTAAATGTTGTGTTCATGCGTGGCAGCCATTGCGGTGATGACAAAAATGGAAACAACATGAACAACCATGCACACATATGCCCACTACACTGACAGGATCAAACCTGATGACTTGACATGGTCTTCTCCAGCCCGATGCGGGACTGCGCCCTCGACACAGCCTTCCCCAGGTCCCGGAAAGTGGAGCGTCCGTGACGTTTCGCACGGACGACTGCCGAATGACACTCGTGGACTAACCGCCGAGGTCATGAACATTGCCCTGTCCAATGTCCTCCTGTGCTGCCCAAAGGGATCCCGAAGGGCTTACTCATAAGCCAGGAAGCTCGAACGGAGACGTCCTGCGGTCTCAGACTAGAGTTGTAGAAGCAATAAAGCAAATAGTTTATCGGCATCTCCTAGGATTCTAAACCTGGTCACCTATTCCCTTGCCTTTCTGGTGCTCGATCATACAATCATGCCCATCAAGTTTCAATCTTTGGGATGTTCCACAAAAATATGCATA